CTTTATTTATTTTCCAAGATTTATTTATTTGAGAGAGAAAGAGCACGTGGTGGGGAGGGACAGAGAGGAGAAACTCAAGCAGACTCTGTGCTGAATGCAGAGCCCCACATGGGGATCAATCTCAGGACCCTGAGATCATGATCTGAGGTGAAACCAAGAGTCGGAGGCTTAACGGACTGCGCCACCCAGCTGTCCCTATAATAGCCTTTAATTAGCTGGTAAATGTGTTTCCCTGAGGTTTACAAGCCCCTCTAGCAAACTAACTGAACCCAAGGAAGACATTATTGGAATCTCTAAACTATACCCAGTCATTCACAAATACGGGTAATAGCCTGAGCTTGTGAATAGTGCCTGGAAGTATTATGTAAGGCGGGAGGGCAGTCCTGTGAAACTGAACCCTTAACTGTGGGACCTGAAGATATCTCTGGGTAAATGTTCAAATTAAGTTAGATTGTAAGACATCCAGATGGTATTGGAGACTTGCTGTTTGTTCTGGGGAAAGCACCTCCACTCTACTTGTGACCAGAAGTGTCAGAAGTGCTCTATGTAGTAAGAGGGACACAGAGCAGAGAAACACATTAGGGAAGAAATGGGTTTTTCTCATCATAGAAAAGAAACAATAGGTTTTTTTTTTCTTTATAACTGATGAAAACAGTTTAATTTTAAAAAAAAGGATTAATGATCATATAATATTGGTAGAGTCAACATTTGAACCTGGGTACCTATAGCAACAAGAGGCATTCAAATACCCTTCCAGAAGACCTGTTCTTGGATTATCTCCTCTGTTTGATAATCAATCCTTCATCCAAAAATCTTTACACAGAACAGCCTCCACGGTCTAAGACTTAAGAGTGTAAGATCCAGCCCTGGACACATACATATACCCTGAATGGGTATTTAACTGAGCACTGAAGACCAGGTACACAGGTCCAGCTTCCAGGGTTTAAACACAGAAGTCCAGCCTACACATGAGCCCACTTTCACATTTGGAGAACCAAGACCATAGTCTACCTAAAACAATTCATGCCCATCTGTATATCTGACTGCATTCTTCATGGGCTAACTTCATTGAAGAGGACAACCATAAGGATGCCCCCAGAGTGTCATGCTCAAAGCAGGTTCCCAAAACAGGCCTCACTGGCATAACATGAGCACTTGTAAGAACAGAAAATTGGGGGCGCTACAGCCCAGCCCAGAAATAATGAAATGGTAACATGGGAAGAGGCCTAGAAATCTGAGATTTTACAAGTGGTCCAGGTCGTTCTGATGCAAAATAAATTTGACAGCCTCTATAGTAACTAAGTCAAAGATGATTCCTGAATTATGCAGATAGTTACTCTTAGATATTCTCTATGTGATGATGTTACTTATGTGACACATACACACAACCTAGACATTTACCGTATTCATAAATAAATAGTACCATAACATAGTCTGTCTTGGCTACCTCATCTTCCACATGTCACTTCCTTCAATGCCCTCCTCCAGCTTCCTGGGATCACCCATAAATACACTTCTCATCACATTCTTTCATCAAAATAATCCAACTTAGAATGAATTGCAATTTATTCAAATATTTCATCAAATAAGATATGAAATACATACAGCCAAAAATAGATGTTATAATTTATACTGGAGTTGAATATGGAATTCTACGAATATGCATTTGATGATTTCTACTATGAGAACATAAATGAATGCAGACTAAAAAGCTCCTCATGCTCACCTCTGAAGAATTAGCACTCCCATTTCCATATATGATAAAATTATTGTGAATCTCAGTAGGCACACTCTAAATTTCAGGGCCTTTTCATAACATCTGATTCTAGTGCAAGGCATGTCCTTTGTATCAGATGCCTTGAAACCACTCAGGTAACACTGGCCATTCCCAACAAGCTTACACGTCCACCTGTGTTACAGATATGTGGTTACTTAGAGTGGCCTCGACAGCGTTCTGGTCAGTGAGATAAAGAGAGAAGCACCTGAAAGAGGTTGGCCTGCTCTGAGAGAAAAAGGAGTAGTTCTAAAACAAATTCCCTGAGTCCTAACAGATTAACACCACCTCCTTGATGCATGGAACATGGTTTGATGCCTGAAGGTGAGGCAAGCATCTTTGGCCATGAGAGCAAGTATTAGCGCGATGTCTGCTGCTAGACAATACCAGAGAGAAGAAATGGAACAACTAGAGTATACCATAGCGTGTATGAGCCATTTTATCAGACATGAGCATCTACCTACTCATTATATACATCATACACAGTATACATCTTCTTTTCTATAAGGACACATCTGCCTTTTCATGGTACAGCTGAACACAAAATAACAGCTACCCAAAAAAGCATCATTATACTTCACTTGTACCAATGTTAAATGTGAGCACAACCTACTACCCAACTTCATGGTATCAGCTTCCCCGATTGACAGAAATCCTCTTTCATGCTCCCCACAGGATGGGTAAAAATGCAGCAGGAGCTGTGAGTGAACATAGGAACATCTATCTTTAAAAAAGTACATGGACTGTTTGATGCCGAAATGCTCTGACTGGTGAACTGCCCCCCAACTAATCAGTGCCTTGCACAGACCTCAAAGAGTAACAGTCGACATGGGGCTCAAGCAGAACCGAGTTTCCTACCATCTACAGTGGACCAGACTGACGTTGGGCTTATATACCTAAGATTCTAGTGCTTTGAAAAACGACAGCACACACCTTCCTGATACTTCCAGTGTCCACAAGGCTTCTACATTTCCAACAACTACTCTGCCATGTGACATTTGAGGGGTATGGCCACAACATTTGCATCTTCACCAACCCCTCTCCTTCCACTCCCATGGTTTTTGGCCTGAAAAGTACAGGAATCTCTATCATCCAACAGCATCTGTCCTCAGTACAACATAGGAATTTATGAAATCATGAAGACAGGATCTGACTTCTCGGAAGGTAGGGGAAAGAAAATACTACTAAGAAAATCATGAGGAGGGACGACTGGGTGGCTCAGTTGTTTAGGCGTCTGACTTCAGGTCAGGTCACCATCTCAAGAGGCCTGTGGTATGGAGATTTGCCCTTGGCGGGGAGTCTGCTTCTCCCTTTCCCTCTCCCTCTGCCCTTCCCCCAATTCGTGCTCTCCCTCCTTCTCTCTCTCAAATAAATAAAATCTTAAAAAAAAAAAAAAGGAAAATACAGTAGTGTACTATAAGAAATATGTACATGTAAGTGGACATGCACAGTTCAATCCCGCGGTGTTCAAGGTTCAACAATACATTATAGTTAGTCTCTTTACCTACAACTTTGTTTAATGTGGAGTAAGTTAAAATTAGTGCAAGGATAACATGTCATTCACCACACATCAGTATTAACATGCACACACAAAACATTGTTTCATTAATTAAATAATAAGTTCACACATGGTCTAAACAAGCTACTGCAAAATCACTGTATGATCCTAGGTCAAAATACAGATTACCAGCATTGAACAAGCAGTCTTGTTCATCTTCTATGATCAGAGAGTTGTGGCCCCATGGTTTTACTAATAACATTACAAATATGGGATCAAACTGTTTATGTTCTCAGTAAGGTTTCTGGTCAAAAGTAGTCTACTAATAGTTAAATGTTGGTACACATACAAACACAAGCATTTTCCTTAGTTCTTTTACACCTAAATTATATCTTAAGCTCTGTTTATTTACAATTTGCATTCCATGCATACCAAAGCCATGGGAATCTTTTTTGCTCAGGACATGCAAAAAAAAAAAACTCATGAACAAATAGTATAGAATAAAATTTTATAAATGGTGATTTAGAATTCTGCAGGTATGGCTTATATTTCTAGTGACTTTGTTACACTAGCTTTTTTTTTTAAGATTTTATTTATTTGACAGAGAGAGACACAGCAAGAGAGGGAACACAAGCAGGGGGAGTGGGAGAGGGAGAAGCAGGCTTCCCACGGAGCAGGGAGCCCAATGTGGGGCTCGATCCCAGGACCATGAGATCATGACCTGAGCTGAAGGCAGACGCTCAACGACTGAGCCACCCAGGCACCCGTTACACTAGCATTTGTAGAGTCCCTGGGCCTTTTGTGGTAAGTCAAGTTTCAATAAAAGGACACCAAGGAAAATGAAATAGCCAAGTTCATTACTCATAGATCCTAGAGGATGTACACGATATGCCTTGACAAGTACATGATGGAGTCAAGGAGTGCAGGCAGAGAAAGAGGCAGAAACTGGGGCAGATACATTTATTAGGGTCCATGGTTGGCATGCCTTGCACTTCATGGGCAAGTCTAGAATGCACAATTCAAACCAAAATATGCGGACTATGATAACCTCTGTAGGGGTCTTCTCTACAGAATGCACAAGGGAAATATACTGGGAATGGAGATTGTTGTTTACAAGGACTGCTGGGGTTGTCATATCAGGAACTTACACTAGCTTGTAACTTTGAGGGCTGTTATCGAATATATTTGCTACCAGGAGGAGCAAGTATCAGTTCAAACCTCCTGCAAACAGCCTAGTTATATCAAATGGAGTCCAAGGCAGCAATACCAAGAAGTGAGATATAATTGTGGGCAATTATACTTTTTATTTAATGATTCACTTTATTATTTATTTGACAGAGAGCACAAGCAAGAGGGGCAAAGGGAGAGGGAGAGAGAATCTCAAGCAGACTCGGCACTGAGTGTAGAGCCTGACACAGGGCTCGATCTCATGAACCTGAGATCAGGACCTGAGCTGAAATCAAGAGTTGGAGGCTTAACTGACTGCCACCTAGGCACCCCTCTTGATAATACTTCTATATCATCTGTGTTACAGCAGTCATAATGTCCCAGTAGTTACAAAGGGGAGGCAAATATACAATATATAAATTTGGGAAAGATAATCTCAAATCATTTGAGGCTTCATGCTACTGGGAAGAGGTAATTAAGCGATCCCATTGCATTCATAAGTACAGTTGATTCTGGTACAATGCAGGGGTTGGGATTCTCCTACGTATGTATACTCTGTTGTCAAAGAAGTTTTAAGCAATGCTTAAAGGTTTCACCAAATTGTTTACATTTGTAAGATTTCTTCCCAGTATGTATTCTCTGATGTTTAGAAAGTATTGTGTGCTGGTAAAAGGCTTTGTCACATTCATTTCATTTTTGAGGTTTCTCCCCAGTATGTGTTTTCTGATGTCCAGGAAGGCTTGAATGCTGGGTAAAGGCTTTACCCTATTCCTTACATATGTAAGGTTTCTTCTCAGTATGAAGTCTCTGCTGTTGAGTTTTGAAGACTGCTTTAAAGCTTTGACACATTTACTACATTAGTAAGTCATCTCTTCAGGAAGGATATGATGACATATAAAAAGGTTAAAGCTTAATAAAAGACTTTCCAACATGTATTTCTTTTATACTGGTATCTGGAAACTGAGTTCTTTAAAGTTTATTAGGATTAACCCTTGTTAATGTTTATTTCCAGATTTATCACATTCATAAATTCTTTCTCCATTATAAACACCTTGGTAATTATTGAAGATCAAGTCCTCACAGAAAGCCAGCCGAAGTTCATCACACACAAAATGTTGCTCCAAATTATGTATTATGTGTTATCTATTGAACAGTGATGGCTGGATAAAGACAGTCCAATACGTATCAAAATTAGGGACTCTGGAATAGGACAGACTATTTGTTGGTAGAAGAATCATGAACCCTCAGGAAAGGAATTCTGAAATTGATTATATTTAGACTTTTAATCTTCAAATTTCTAATTTATAGAAATCTTTGAAAAATTAATACCTCCTATATTTGAAATGGTTCAAATCATTACTTGCAGCATGGAATAGGTGATTTTCCAGAATTTCTGCTTTTGTTTCCAGAGAAAACGTATGTATAAAAAAAGGAGCTGAGGCTTTGTATTCACATAGTTCTGCAAACATAATGGTCTTAAAGCGGGATTTTCCCCAAAATATTTTCTATTCTCTATTTCTTCTGGCAGGAAGGATTCAATTAAGGGTAATTGTCCCAGTCTAGTTATATCCCTTATAACACTGTTTCTGCCCTCCTTCTCAGTCTTTTATTAACTGTGATCTCAAAGCCGCAGCTTCCCTTGTCTTCCCAGTAGCACGTTATTGAATACATTTTCTTTGACTGTTTTTTGTAAAAAATGCCAGGTGTCATGAGAAGACCTAATTGAAAAATACCAAATAAATTATCCCACATAGTACACTTGCAAGTATATACTTTAAAATGCTAATGTATAAAATTAATATTCATCAGGTGACATGAGGAAGATGGAGAAATAGGAAGGACAAGGCCTGCTCCTTCATGAAGACACAAACTAACCAAATTGCCTTTCTGAGTGCTCCAGAAGCCAGATGGGAGAACACAACACCCTCAGGCAAACACAAATGAAGAAAAGCCTGTTTGAAGAGAGAAGGAAAGTTTGTTACATTGCCCCAGTAGCCGCTGTTCACCCTACCTGGCACTCCATGACAAGACTGCAAGAAAACTCTCAACTCTGCTCAGGAAAGACATGCGTGAACTTTGTGGGCAATAATCTGGCTTCTTTACAGCTGCCTGGAGGACTTGTTTCTTTCATGCATGACACGGAAGGCTGAGGGAATGGGAACAATGGGAACACCCACTTGATGCATTGTGGTGACTACTCACAGAACAGGTAAGAACTTGCTCAAAAGCCAGAGACTGCAGTGCTGAAGATCATCATGTGCAATTAACAGGAAACAACAATTATTTAACTGTGAAAGTACAAACACTCAGACATTACACACCCCCAGAATACGTTTGATAGGCCCCACAATTACAGCACAGATGGCTGTTATATGTGTTCTCCATTACAAAGCAAGTACATAAATTCTGGGTCCAGGGCTGGTTTTTAAATTTCCAAACACCACCAAAAGATCACAAGGCATACAAAGGAGCAGAAAAATGTGTTACAATTAAAGGAATAAAACAAACCTCCAAAAACTGGCCCGAAATTAATAAAGCACTATAAATTACCTGACAAAGGATTCAAACTATCATAAAAGTGCTCATGAAGGAAGAGTAGAAACCAGGTAACTAAATGATATCCAGTAAAGTATGCATGACCGAAATGAAAATCCAGAGACAGGAAGTTTCAAAAACAACCTAACAGAAATTAAGAGCTAAAAAGTACAAACTAAATTTTAAAGTACACTAAAGGGTCAGCACCTGACTTGATGAAGTAGAAGAATAACTAAGACAACTTAAAGATCCCTCATTTTAAATTATCCACTGAGGAGATTAAAAAACTTGTGGAAAAGGACAGGGGCCAAGGGACTTATGGGACACCAACAAGTAGACCAATATATATATTAAAGGGGACTCCCCCCAAGGAGAGGCGAGTGGAAAGGGACAGAGAGCTTACATGAAGAACAACTGGCTTATACTTCCACAATTGTGGAAAAACAGAGACATGTTCAAGAAGCTCAGTGAATTCTAAGTAGGATAGATGTCAAGACATGAAGACACAGCACATTATAATTAATTTATCAAAAATCACAAGTGAACAGAGAGCTTTGAAAGAGCATGACAAAACTAATTTCTCCTGTGTAACAGAGCTCTTCTAAGAATATTAATGGTCCTCAGCAGAACTTACAAAAAGAAATGCGAGGGATAAAGTACCAAAAGATCAAAAAAAAATATCAACCAAAAACACTGTATCTGGCATAAATGTCCTTCAAAAATGGAGAAAAGAAGACATACCCAAGTCAAATCCCCTAGAAGTGTACCATTAGACCTGTCCTACAAGAAACACTAAAGAAAGTCTTTCTGGTTAAAACACAAAGATTCTAAACAGTAATTAAAACCACATGAAAATATAAAGCTCTCTGGTAAATGTAAATGTTTACACAAATATAAATGTTTACACAAATATAGAAACCTAGAATATTGTAATGAGGTAGCACAGACTGCAATTTTCTTATTGAACTGAATTATTTTAAAGAATAGAAACAGGGGCGTGTGGTTGATTTTGGCTCAGGTCAAGATCTCAGGGTTGTGAGATCAAGCCCTGCATTGGGCTCCAAGCTTGGTGTGGAGCCTACTTAAGATTCTCTCTCTCCCTCTCCACCTGCCCCTCCCCCCACTCACATGCGTGCTCTCTCTCTTCCTTAAAAATAAAAGAATAAAAATGATATATCTAAATTATAGAGTACACAACAGAAAAGACAGAATTATTAAATATAGGGTTATGAGTGACCTACAGTGGGTAGAGGGATGGACAGGATAAGCAGTAGAGTTTTCTATGCTCTTGACGATATTAGGTTAAAATGGTTTGTTACAGCTTTGAGAGGTTTTAAGTAATCCCTATGGTAACCGGGGTTAAAAAAAAAAAACCAACTACAGAAGACATAAAAAGGAAAGGAGAATCGTATCAAAGCATGTCACTACAAACATCAAACTAATGTAATGAAGCACCTTGGGAGGGAAAGTAGGATAAAATTGCCACGAGTACAGAAAACTATGAAAAGGTAGCAGCAGTACTTCCCTTTCCTAATTACTTTGATGGTAAGTAGATTAAACTCCCCCCATTAAAAGGCATAAATTGGCTGAATGAGTGAAACACAAGATGCAACATCCTCCTGTCTACAAGAGAGTCACATTAAATCTAGGGACACAACTAAGATGCAAGTAAAAGTATGTAAAAGCATATTCCATGAAAATGGAAACCAAAAAAGGGCATAGGTGGCTGTACTAATATCACACAAATACATATAAGTTCACAGTTTCAGAACAGAGAAACATACGTACATAAGGAAATGAAATTACCCAGATACTATAACAATTATGTGTGCACCTGACAACAGAGATCCCATATATGTGAACCACAAAAGGCAGAACTGAAGGAAGAAATCAACAGCATCATTATAGTAGCAGAGGATAATACCTTGATTTAACTGGACGAAGACCACATTCAAGTCCAGGAAGGACAGCACTTGATTACATATGATGGACATATACACACCACTCCCACCAAGCAAGAGTCGAATACACAACCTTCTCAATCACACACAGAATGTTCTCTAGCATAGACTGTCTACAAAACACGTCTTAACAAATTTAAAGATTAATATCGTAAGTATCATTTCTGATCATCATGGAATAAAACAAAGAATGAATAGCAGATGGGAAATTGGAAATGCCACAAATATTTGGACATTAAACAACATGCTCTTGAACAATCAACGGGTCAAAATGAAATTAAAGAAAATAACCAGTAAATACCTTGAGAGTAATGAAATGAAACAATATATTCAAACATACTGAAATCAGAAAAAGTCATTCTTTTTTTTTTTTTTTTTAAGATTTTATTTATTTGAGAGGAAGAGAGGAGAGAGGGAGAGCATGAGCGGGAGGAAGGGGCAGAGGAAGAGGGAGAAGCAAACTCCCTGCTGAGCATATAGCTGGATGTAGGGCTCAATCCAAGGACCCTGAGATCATGACCCGAGCCTAAGTCAGACACTTAACTGACTGAGCCACCCAGGCACCCCCAGAGAAAGTAATTCTAAGGAAACAGTCAGTGGAGTGAAAAGGCAACTTGAAAAATGCAAGGAATTTTTTTTTGCAAAGCCTCTAGAGAAGAAGGATTTAACATTTAGAACAGAGAAAGAACTCTTGCAATGAAAACCAAACAGCAACTAGCATGATTAATAACTGCACAGAATTTTCAATGGGCACAATCCAAGAAATATATACAAATGGACAAGGCACAGGAAAGATGCTTAACCTCACTATTCATTAGAATAATATAAATCAAACAGTGAGTCATCACCCCTCACCTGTCCAGATCCCACTATTAAGCACGAACAACAACAAAAAAAGTACACGTGCCGGAAAGGATGAAGAGAGATTAGACCCTTATACACTGCGAGAGGAAATGCATATGAAGCAATCACTATGGAAAACGGAATGGAGGTTCCTCAAAGAGTTGTAAATCATATTACCATATGATCCAGCCATCCCACTTGACAGTATATAACCAAAGCAATTCAAAGTGGGATCCACAAGAGATATTTGCACAGGGATATTCACAGCAGCATTATTCAGAAAAGCCAATAATAAATGAAAGCAACAGAAATATCTGTGAATGCGTAAGAAAATGTAGCATATACATTCGCTAGAATAACATTCAGCCTTGAAAAAA